TTTAACATAAATATTTATTCAACTCTGGAGGTACTTCAGATAAGATTCAGAGGCCTCCAAGGGCAAGATTTTCATAAACTAATTCAAACATGTGAAATCAAATGCACTGGGTATTGCCTCTCCACATCCCGTAAGTGTGATTAACTTATCGTAACTGTGTTATATTGTTTGCTTTATTACTATATTACTAGTGAACACCATGGTCATAATCAACCTGAGTCAACAACAATTCAACAGAGTACCTTGTTTATATTTTATCAACCCTCAGAATGGAAGTTGATATTTGTAAAACTAATATGTTAACTGGTATGCACACCTTTATCCCTGCTGTTATTCTGTTTTGCTCTTCAATAAAACTACTGATGTCTGGAAAAGAATCCACTTATACTTAAACATTTGAATCAAATCACTAATATTGCATTTAAATTTGTATTAAGTAAAAGATCAAATAATCTCAAGACTACAGCTACTTTAACAGAAATAATCAAAACAACTACTCTGCATACATCTATTACTGCTTCATTCATTTATGCAACTTTTAGGTATATAACCTATAGTGATATTTCACAAGTAGAATACCACACAAAATCAAAATACAATGTGTATAAATTTTTGTGTGTATGTATATCCCACACATGAGGTAGCTTTGAAATGTGCATATGACAGTTTTCAGCACAAAACAGATGCTCAATAAACAGTGACTGAATATTCAACTCCTGCTTTATCAATATACATGCCAACACTGAAATACTCATTTAGTTAGAAGCAAATCTATGAGTTAATATAACCCCTGCCATTAGCAAGCATATAAAGTAGCAGGTGTGGAATATGGTTATATGAACAAGGGCACACACATACATATAATAGAGATGGGTCCTTAAATTCTTAATGGGCCCTAATTTCTAATGTTTCAACTCAGATGCTTGCTTCCCATTCACAGCTACCTTCCCTGTTTCCACTTTTACTTCCAGCTAAGTAGGAAGGAAACTTAACAGTAGGGGGCTGGGGTGGAGGGCATAATTACTGACGAGAGAGGATTGTGGGAATTGAGTCCATGGATACCAGTCGCTGAGGAAGGGAAAATGTCCTGGCCGAATAAGGTAGCCAAGATGGGAAATCCAAACGTATGTGAGCTAGGGTCTGATGGCAATGTTAAAAAGAGAAAGGAGAGTCCTGAAGAGCTGAAAAAATGTGAAATGAGTGGTAGTCAGGGGCATTTCTTGAGGTCCTTTGATAGGATGCAGGGAGGCCTCTTTCCCTGAGATCCGGGGGGAGGAAGCAAAAAGAAGGGCAAGTGCCTTTCTTTAGAGGCTTATCAGTATGGGGCTTTTATTTTTTTTTTTTAATTTATTTTATTGAACTATAGTTGATTTACAATGTTGTGTTAATTTCTGCTGTACAGCACAGTGATTCAGTTATACGTATATATACATTCTTTTCATATTCTTTTCCATTATGGCTTATCACAGGATATTGAATATACTTCCCTGTGCTATACGGTAGGACCTTGTTGTTTATCCATTCTATATATAATAGTTTGCATCTGCTAATCCAGTATGGGGCTTTTAAAGCACCATCTGTAAGCAGACAACTTAGAAAGACAGTGAGGTGGTCCTGGAGAAGATGAGTTCAAGAACCTGTTCCATCACTTACCCACTGCATGGCTTTAGGAAATTTCTAAGCCTCAGGTTCCACATTGAAAAAACTCCAAGAGTCTTTTTGTAAAGATTGGGTATAGTCACATTTATAGAGCTTAAGTGTGGTACATAGTGGATGCATAACAAATCCTAGTTTTCTACGCTATTTGAAAGCTTTTCTGTAGCATTCTGGTCCTCATGGGACTCATTAATGGTGTGCTTTGGACACATCTCTAGTATTCTCCAGGTGTTTAGGCCATCTCCTCTCTAGCCTCCCTATCTCATTACTTTTTTAAGTTGGCATAGATTCAGATATGAATAGATCCCTCAAATATAATATTTTTGATACCTTTCCTTGCATAATGGTCAACTGAAAGAATGTATAGATAACACACAGTAGAATTAAAAGATTAAATAGAATTTAATTAAAGATAATAAATAGATTATTTGAATATCAAAGGGCAATATATCTGAGAGAAGTGATTAAAATGAAAACAGCCAAGATAGCAGAAGAAAAGACGTTAGAGAATTGGGCAATATAAAAGTTTTGATGATGAGTTTACAATTCTAAAAATGTTGCCTTCTGGGAAAAACAGTGACTTTTGAAAGATATCTTCATCTATATATCTTAAATATCTATAAAGTCTGTCTGTCTATCTATCTGAAAGAGAGATGAGGAATGCAGGATCTGAAATACTGTGGGATCTCTCACACGCATCAACTACTCTCTTGGGGCTATATTGAGTCTTCCTATCAACCTCCCTAAGGGGATTCTGTGAATTATGTAGCATCTGCAGGAACATTTACATGTTCTTTTGAAAGACAGCAAGGTATTCCATCGTCCTATCATGAAATAATTTTAAGACATTTACAAATATTTAAATGAGAAGGTATTAATGTAGTACTTTCTCTAATGAGTATATTTGGCATATGTGTTAAATATTTTTATTCTTCTTGTCAGTCATATTTCCTTGTGACCCTTCAACAATTCAGGTCAAATTATGAGGCCAGGTTGCCAAGAAATATGATTACAAGAAGACGTGTACATGGTGGCTAGAAAAAAAAATAAGTCCACAAAAGAAAGAAGGAGGAGGTTATGACAGAGTGACAGAGAGACTCCATCACCAAGAAAAGGAAAGGAGGAATCTTTTCATAAACTAATGGAGAAAGTGGAAGAGAGAAAGATATCAGAGGTCAGTGTCTTTCTTATTCCCCAGACTCCATGGGTTGAAGGAAGAAGGGGGAGAACCTGAAAGTCTAAACATTCACCCGAGAGAGTGAGTTTACTTAAAAAAGACTGTTTTAAACTACAAGAGACTAATACATTTTTAATTATCAAGCTTACTCTTTTTTCCTGTTACATAGTAGAAAAAATTTTTGACCAATTAAAGAAAATTAAGAAGCCACAAATTATTTCAGTTTATTTTAATGTTAAAATATTGACCCAATATGCTTTTATAACACTCTTATAGCTATGTAGCTGCCTTGAAAATTCCATTCCCTGGAAAGTTCCATTAATCAGCCTTGTGTGTTCCCACACCAGGAATTCTAAGCCCTACAACTGGTACAAAGTTTACAAACACATATTTTCTTGGCGCCTACCTAAATTTGTGTTTTCCAATTCCAGCCAAATACAATACCTTTTCTATTTGAATTTTGTCAGTTCCATCTTCCTTTCCCTCCAGCAGTTATTTCAACCCACTGTGCCACTCTTCAAATCTCTTACTATATCTCCTTTTCTCAGCAGATGAAAATATAAATCCAACTGCTCTTAATTCCAAAGCCCCTCTACTACCTACAATTTATCTACATTCACATTTGTTTTAGCTTACCTCCACCTGTTCAAAAGTAGAAATGCCCCTGCTGTTCATAGCTCTTCCTTCTAACTCAACCCTGATACCAGTCCTCCCAGAGCCTTGGCCCATCGGTTAAACCCTATGTCCTTTATAGCTTTAACTCTTTCTCAACCCTGGCTTCTTCCTTCTGCTTATATATATGCTCAAGTCTCTTCCACATTAAAATACTGACTTCCTTGAGCCTGCAGTCAAGTTTTACTAAACAGCATGTCTCTCCTTCTCATCATAGCCAGAGTATTCATAAGGGAATTTTACATGAGATAACATTATGTTCTTAATTTTTCTTATTTCATACCACAAGCATGAAGAGATGATCAGGAAAGATGAGAACTCTAACAGGTAAATGATAGTGTTCAGCTTCAGCATTAATAAAAAATAGAAAATTTGCAATGATGATAAGATACAATTTTCCCACAATGAGACTGCTGGAAATTAAGGAGAATGATGATACTCAGGGCTTACAAGGTTCAAGAAAATAAGTAGTTATGTCTGTAATATACTCCTGATGGCAGCATGAAGTGCAATAGGATAACCATTCAGGAGAATAAATTGGTTACTTATATAAAAAACCTTAACATATGTGTTCCTTTTAGCCCTGAAATTGAACTTTATAAAATGGATCACTGTAGTTGTAGCAGTAGTTGTAATTTTAGTAAAAGTAGTAAAAATAGTTGAAAAGTTAAAATTATTAATGTTCAACATTACATTTAAAATGTGTTTCAGAAAACTTATAATGAGTTGATTTTTATTTCAGACCCACATTATTTGGTCATTTAATACAAAGTGATCAAACATTTCACACAACTGAATTTAAAAACATGCATCTTCAATATGACACGAAAAAAGGAACAAGCTTGGTTGGAGCCAAAATTTAATCTAAATATGCTATTTATATAGAAAAGGGGCAAAGGAAACAAAATTAGAACACTGGAATTTTTATAAACTTTGAGGAATAAACATTGGCATATTTGAGTGATATCATAAGAATTGTACAAATTTACTGACTTACATATTCAGCTTTCCAGATAAAATTAGAAGAATTTGACTTGGTATACAGATTCCTAATTTCTGATCCTGGAGTTTAGAGTTGTGATTTTGGCCATGATACTTCATCTCTTACATGTATGCTTTCTCTTTAATAAAATGATGTTGTTGAACTAACAGATCCCTGAAGTGTCCACTACCTCTAAAATGCTTGGACTCTATAATAGAATAAGTGTGATTAATAATTACAAAATGGGCTTCCCTGGTGGCACAGTGGTTAGGAATCCACCTGCCAATGCAGGGGACACGGGTTCAAGCCCTGGCCCGGGCAGATCCCACATGCCGTGGAGCAGCTAAGCCCGTGCACCACAACTACCGAAGCCCGCACACTGTGCTCCACAATAAGAGAAGCCACTGCAATGAGAAGCCCGCACACCGCAATGAAGACCCAACGCAGCCAAAAATAAATAAATTAAAAAAAATTACAAAATAACATATGTAAAGTAAAAGAAAAACAACTTACCTATTAGTATGATATCGATTAAAACATCTTCTTCGGTGGGATTTTGGAAAGGTATAAGAACAGATGATTGAAGACGAAGGTATGTGGTCATTCTTTCTATTTCTAGAGGCTGGGGGAATAGTCCTATTCCAGAGATGTAGAATATCCATTCTTTAAACTATATAAAGATAAACATCCATAACATATATGTACTAATTACATACTTTTTATTTGTACCACTTAATAAATATAGTACACATAAAAATTTTGGCAGATAAGTTTTTTGTTAATATTTAACATGCACTGTTTTTATCTTTCCTTCCTTTTCCAAATTCCTTTTGATTTTATTGAAAAATCAATGTGTTTTTACACTGAAAAAAAGGCAAAAGGCCAATGTTCAAATATTAAACATATTTCAATACATACAAGGTTACTGATAATAACATAAAAGAGAAAATTTAATGAAAGCCATGCATTTCTGCTCAAGATTTTTAAAAAAATCAATTTGTCTAACAAACTGGGTACTAAATGCTCTATGAAGTTTCCAAAATATTTATCACAGGAAGGCAAAGAAGGTGAGACACAGATTGCAGTCCCATTAAAAAGAAGTGTATACAACTTATTGCCATATTATTTACGCCCATCATCTAGTACAGTGTATGTTTTATCACATGATATGAAAAAATGGCTCAAAAATTATATGAAGAAGATTGAATGTGGCCATTGTTCTTATCTGTGTTTCAAAAGCCTGCAAAGCTCTGTTTGAAAATGTTCCGTTTGTATTCATTTGGAATAAAAGTCCCTTGAGACTCTGTTCTACACTGAACACTTTGCTAATGTTACCGATGAATGACGAGGTCATTAACCAAAAACCAGCGAACAATGTCCTGGTTTATCACCTCTCAAACTACATAGATGTTTCTAAGCTTAAGTTCCAATAAAAAGAGGGAAACTTGCTTTGTTTCCAAAGTAGGATGGGTGGTGGCAGGAAATTTATAAAATTCTATCTCAGTAAGTGAGGATGAAAAGGCAAGTTTTATCTGCATATGTCTTCAAATGACTGTATTACTTTTAGTTAGAGAGTCTACAAGCATAAATTCACTATATTTTCACTTATGATGTCTGAACTTGATCACACGTAATTGACTGCCTGGAATCAAATGTCAGGGTTCAATTATAGTAACAACTGTTTTATGTAAATTACTTACTTTTTGGCTATTTTATAAAATAAAGCATGGATGACAGAAATTAGGTTAATTTAAACCACTGGAAATAAGCCAAACTACAAAAACAAGAAGGTCATGTTTTCGTGTTTTGCCAAGTGGCCTGGAATACTGGAGGTTCTAAGTTAAACCATTTCCTACCATTCCTGGACACTAGTATCCAACAATTACCCTGGCATTGCTTACATTATCCACCTGGGTTCACAGAGGGAAATTAAAAAGTACCCCAGGGAACATATGCATTAAAAAAAGGTAACATTTTTAGTCCATCTTCATCTCAAACTTCTTTGAAAGGAGACAGAGTAAAACAATTAAAGATCCAATCTCAATGTTTCTGAAAGAAGAAACAAGTGGAGGTAAAAGACAGTAGATCTGGCTTGCACACTGAGTAGAGCTCAAGGGCATTCGAGCTTGCTAAGAATCAAGAGAGTCTGCCATAGACACAGGCTGCAAGGACGACAGACACATGCTGGGTAATAAAATCACTCTGATTTTATCTCTTTTTCCTTTATTTTCACTGTTCTGACCTTTAGATGCAGTGAGTCCCACATCAAGTATAAATGAAATAAATAATGGCAACTATTTGAAAATAAAAATGAAACGACTGAAAACCAAGAGAAAATCTCAGAACATAATGTTTGATATCAGAGAAGGCCTGTTTATCACATTTACTGCTTACTATTGTTCCTCTTATCCTGTTATGCAGTAACAATCTCATTGAGAGATTCTGGTAGCATATTATGAGTTTATGATATTTGCAGTTGTGATGCCCTAACCAAATTAATCTCAGGATTCAAAATCTATACAAACAACTTTAGCCTGAAGTTAGATTTTTTACAATGCAGAGTTCTTCACATGGATACAAACTGGAAACAAATGAAACAAATAATAAACCTTAGCCATTTCCTTAAGTTCAGCAAAGAGTCATATTCAGAAATAGTTAAAACTTATCCTACAAGCACCACCACACTAGATTTTTGATTAATCAGCTACTCAGTTGTGTGTGTTAGTTCAGATATATTTATCAGTGAAATCAAGAGAGGGACAGAAATCTGTGTGAGTTTTTCCCTAGTGGTTAACCTAATTGCAAACTTTCAGACTTAGAAAAGTAAGCCCTAAAATTTTCTTCTTAAAAATATCTTCTTTAGATGCTTACACATACATAATATATACTGCATTTTCAAAAGTTCATTCAATTAATACTTTGGGATAAACCAGTTTTGCCTGCAAAGAATGTCAACTAGATGAATTAAAAGAAGAGGAAGACCTGAATTATTCAGGGATAGAAAGGAAAAAAAAATTAAAGGCAAAAAAATAAAAAGAAAAGGCAAGAAAAACCACAAAGGTTAGGGCAACACATTGAAAAGGTTGAAGCGGTCTGGACTCAGTAGCTAAAAGAATGAATTACTGACTTAAGTCTAACCAGAGATAAAGCCTTGGAGATTTGCTACAACTTGGAAGGAGAGGCTTAGAGTTACTGAAATCAAGCCCCAGTGTTAAAGTGACTGACAAAAAGGTTTGAGTGGATTACTTACTTGAGTTCTTTTGTATTTGATAAAGAATTTTGAGTTCAGCCTCTAGGCTAGGATTTTCTAAATCTATTAAGATGGAGAACTGATCACTATCCTGCTGATGTGCCAGACCACCTTGAGTAGATGTAATTTCCACCAGAAATGCAAGCAACTAAGTTATCTCCAAGAATTAAAATGAAAGGCCTGACCCTGCTATGAAGCAATGATTTAAAAGATCAGCTGTGTTAAAATTATTTTTGTGAAAGAAAATCTCTCTACTATACCTGCCCTTCTTTATGAGAAGGATTACTGGTTTGTCTGTTTTCTTTAATATCTTTGAAAGTCAAGCATACTTCCATAGTATTGCTTCAGGTCATGTATAAGTCAGTAATCATGTAAAAAATTTATTAGCCTCAAAAACTTTTTTCTAAATTACACATTTTGGGGGAAAAAGAGGGTACTTCAGTTACATACAGGCCTTGCACTGACATAGGAACCCCTGTATTATATTTGATTTCACTCCCTCCCAGATGGCAGGATTTTGTAAGCTCCTTGGTGTCCCATAGGATATAAAGTATATACCTCGATTTACTTTACTCCCGCATCAACACCTGAAGAAGTAAAAAATAATAATAACTGTAAAATTTATGAAAAATTTTCATTGGCAGTAAGAGAGTTATGCCTAGGCATTCTGTCAGTAGCTGTAAGAACAGTCATGAAGACGGGTTGAAGCCAGATGTCCTGGGTTCAGGTCTGAGTTCGACCTCCTACTAGCTGCCTGGTCTTAATTTCTGTGTCTCATATTCCTGATCCATATAATGGGGTTGGCCACACTTCTTCCATAGGACTCTGGACAATGAATTGAAATAATTCTTAGAATGGCATGTAGCGAGTATAGAGATACTTAAAAAATATTTTTTAAATTCTTATTATTCAGATGAAAACAGAGTGAAAAAAATAACACAGTACTTGCAAGATTACATTTTATACAGTTTTATATTTAAGTTCATGAAAATTTGAGTAAGAAAATCCAAGTCAGAAAATTAACATAAATGCTAGCAATTTAGCATTTACATTAAAGTCCTTACATTTTAAATCTGGGTGTATATTCTCTTTCAGTCAAGTGATCTAAGGATTTAAAAATGCCTTCTTAAATGCCTGCACGTACATAATGCATACTGTATTTTCAAAAGTTCATTTAAATAATAATTTACAATAAATGTGTTTTGCTTGCAAAGATGTCAAGTGGACAAATTAGATTTACTTGTGTATTGACTTTAAAATTTAATTAACTTGTCTTGGTCCAAGAATACTCTATTGTACCTGAGCACAGTGGAAGGTGACAGAAGTCTGATGACCAGCTCCTCCAAGAGCAGAATGACGAAAGTGAACAGATATGTCTTTGGTGGAGTGAGGTGGTATGATCAGCTGTGTAAATTAAGAAACAAGAAAGAGAAACAAAAATCAATACTTTTGTTTGAGTCAGCATCTTTGTGTGCTAGGTGTATACCAGGTTGATGTTCATGTGATTAACGTGTTGCCTTATACACATTAACCATTCTCAGTATGCCTGCTTGGGGAATACTGGTGAAACAGCCCATAGTAAACAGTGTTTATTAGTGCTCACACAATGTTCTTCCCCCAGACAATGACCACATCGACCAATAAAAGGAAATCAGGATAAATTTTTTAATCTGAGTTGGAATCCCCAATAATAGAAATGTACATTTTATTTAAAGAACCCACAGCTTATTATCCATCCCAAAATACATGTCAAACCACTGGGAACCTAACTTGCAGCGTTGGTGAGGTCAAAAGAAATGAACTGAGTCTAAGTGCAGATGTAAGACATGCTTCTTTATTGTACAATGAAGTTTTTTCTTTGTCCTATTACATAGACCCTCAAGGTGTGACCTGCTAGAATAACTTGAGTCTGAAATGTATTAATCTGAGTTACCTCTTTAGAGATTGTGAAAGAAGCTAGAAACTCAATCATAATATAATGAAGGCTTGAAGATCTTAAGTAATCAAAAAGCTACACTGTAAATAATGTAATATTTATTATCAACCCTTATAGAATGACAGAATGAGTGGCACATTTGAGAAGTAAGTCAATTATTTTTTCACTAATGTATTTTGCCAGATAACTTTTGAAAAAGGACACTTGCAATTTGGCAAAGTCATTCAATCTTTGTAGAATACAGCACTTGCTCTTCAATAAACTCTGAAAACGACCATGAAAAAAAAATACAAACTTAATTTTAGAACAGAGTTACCTCCTTATTATACATGTGGTTTATCTACAGCAAATATTTTTTATCTCAGGCTGCGTGTCCCTCTGATACTTCATTATCAGTTTTGATATTATCAGTTAATGCATATTTAAGGAGTTCAAATTAATATCAGAATTAACCTTAGCAAAGAAAAAAAACAGAAAAGTTGCAGTTCATATGTTCTTTCAATTTAGCAAATGTGACAAAAATATTTCTCTCCCTCCCCCCATACATATATAAAAGAAATCAACCATTTCATCGGAAAAATGTATAATACTATATTAACTTAGATTTTTAACTCTAGTTCTACCACTGACTAATCATGTGGTTTAAATATTTTAGCCTCTCTGGCCTCAAATTCCTTTTCTATAAATATATGTCAGAGACATGTGGTGAAAATTGAGGTAGTGTATACAACCAAGCAATAACTCAATTCCTTTATTTCCACCTAAAATTTACTGAAAAATGCATCTCCCCTGGTTTCAAGGAAAAAAAGATAAACACGGTTGGATGGAATTTAACTGTAGCAAACCTACTGGTTTAGTGTAATGGGATATATAAATAATATGTTAAACATATCAGCTTTTGAAACTTAAAAACATTTTATTACAAGCAAGTGTCATCAGGAGTACCAATTCCCATGTTTGAGCTTACACTAGATCCTAGTTCAAGAGGGAAAGATATTCTTGCGACAGTTAGGTAAACTGAAATTTGGACAGGATATTAGATGATGGAGGAGACTAATATGCTCTTAAGAAATATAATCTAAAGTATTTACTGTTAAAATAGCATCTACAATTTACCTTTAAATTGAATAGTAAGAAGTGTAAGAGAGAAAAGAGAGGAAAAAATGTAACGAATTGTTACTATAAGAACCAAGATAGAAGGTATAAGTTTGTGCATTGTATTATTCTTTCCACTTCTGTATCTTTTTGAAATTTCTCATAATATATAGATGGAGGACAGTAAATTTTTAATATCATTATTTGCCTTGATAATCAATCTATGCTTACTTATTGAAGCATTTACAGGTAATCATCAATATTTAAAAATCCTTACCTATGTAAACATGAATATTACACAACAAAACCAGGAATAAAGTTATATATACATATCTATATAAAGTATATACATATATATATAATATACTTTCCATTTATTACCATTACCATTAATGTATGTTCCTATTTGTTCTATAACATATAATAGTATTTTTCTCACCTGTAAATTTATTTTTGAGTTGTTTCCAAATATTAAGTTAATTGCATATTCTGTGGTCAATAATATTTGATAAGTGTACAAAAGAATGAATGGACTAGAAAACCATGGTTGGAAATGTTAAAGCCGAGACCATCTTTTTCATTATGCAACATTAAGATGGCATCTGTAATACAATGCATTTGTTTTCCCTTGGACCACAGTTTACATTCTCTGTAAAAGTAGTGATACGAAGGATATGAAAACACCACTAATGAGTAATTTCTGTTAAATGTAAACTATAGCCTGAACATCATATTGTTTAATTTATGGAAAATATGGTGTTAAGTAATACAAACATACATGTATATTTTAAAATAATTTTTCTAAGATTGCACTATATACACCAATTTTAGCAATGTAATACTTAGCGATATCTGATTTGACACATCATGGCAGTTAAGAACTAATTTTATATCATATTAGTTGGCAACCAGTAAGTGACAAGAGACAGGTATTAAAATATAAATAAAGAAATCACATTGTAGATTCGTTAAACAATCATCAAACAGCAAATAGTAAAAGCCTTTTTCTAAATACCATGATTTACTGTGAGGTCCTCTGAAGAAAATAATCTATTGCAATTATCATTTCGAAGTTTACTTGAAAGCAGGGTTTTGGCATTCACTATACATATTTGGTATCGTATGCTTTGGAAATAGAGACAGGGATGCTGAACCTTCAGATCTTGTTTTGCTACTTGGGGGAAGATAAAGTGATTGAGGCCCATTGACTGGCTCTAGTCTCTCCCAGGAATGAAGGAATGAGAAAATGAGGTAGAGAAAAAGAGAGAGAGGCAGAGCTGTCAGCACTGTCTGTGGGGAGGGGGTGATGGGTAGGAACTAAGGAAAAGCTAAAAAGAACTGGCGTCCTGGGACCTGGACACATAGAATAACCATTGAGTCAAATCATATTCCTAAAATGCACCACTTTGGTGGGGACGTTGATAGCTGGGGAGACGCAAGAGGGAGGGTGGGTCTCCTTTGTGGACTCTTCTCACTCCTCTACACTTAAGGGTCAGTGAGGCTTGGCGTTTTCTACTTTTCTATATACACAGATCTCCCCCCCATATACTCCCCAAATTTCAGTTATCATTTTGGTGCAAATGATCCCCCAAGTCTTCATTTCTAGCTTAATATTCTACCCTGAATTTCAGAGCCACATAGCCAATTGCCTATGAATATTCCCTGAATTTATGTTCCTTTGAGATACTCTCCAAACTGTACATATCTTAAATCAGTGTTCTTAAAATGTGCTCTTTCTCCAGCTGCAGCAGTAGCAGCAGCAAGAGAACTTTTTAGAAAAGCAAATTCTCTGTGCCCCATATACACTACCAAATGTAAAATAGATAGCTAGTGGGAAGCAGCCACATAGCGCAGGGAGATCAGCTCGGTGCTTTGTGACCACCTAGAGGGGTGGGATAGGGAGGGTGGGAGGGAGGGAGGGAGAAGCAAGAGGGAGGAGATATGGGGATATATGTATATGTATAGCTGGTTCACTTTGTTATAAAGCAGAAACTAACACACCATTGTAAAGCAATTATACTCCAATAAAGATGTTAAAAAAGAGAAAAAGAATATATGTATAACTGAATCACTTCAGGACACGGGGATGGGGAAGGGTAAGTTGGGACAGTGAGAGAGTGGCATGGACATATATACACTACCAAATGTAAAATAGATAGCTAGTGGGAAGCAGCCGCATAGCGCAGGGAGATCAGCTCGGTGCTTTGTGACCACCTAGAGGGGTGGGATAGGGAGGGTGGGAGGGAGACTGAGGCAGGATGTATATAGGAAATCTCTGTACGTTCGGCTTAATTTTGCTGTGAACCTAAACTGCTCTAAACAATTGTCTCTTTAAACAAAAAAAAAAGACCACTCCAATTAAAATCAGAAAAAAAAATCATATTATTGGGAAACTATTGCAAAAACTGGTTACCAAAGCGGTCAGGAATAAAGCACAACCAATTTATTTAGGGTTCAGTGAAAATGAGCATGAATCTAGCATATATAATTTCAAAATTTACATGAACATGATATTGATTTTCTTGATAAATTAAAATTGGCAATGCATATATTTTAAAATTTTAGCATTTCAAGCCTTATTAATAATTCAATTGCTAATACTTCATGGTGTCCCAAAATCAGAATTGGAAAATGTTCTACTAGTGGTAGATTACTCGGCTTTCTGAATATACTTACCTGTGATCTGTTAATCTCCAGGACAAAATTATCAGGATTACTGTTTGTTGCTTGCAATTCTAAGGTTTCGTGTGTAGGATTATCTAAAGGAATTATCTGAGTGACAAACCTGGAAGGAAGGACAAAGGTAGTAAAGTTGTTCAATGATAATTTCACAAACTTGATGACTATTATGGGTTGAACTGCATCCCCCCAAAAGATATAGTAAAGTTCTAACACCCAGTGCCTCAGAATGTGACCTTATTTGGAAACAGGGTCATTGCAGACGTAATTAGTTAAGTTGTGGTCACACTGGAGTAGGGTGGCCCTTAATCCAACATGACTGGTGTCCTTATGAGAAGATGATGTGAAGACACATGAGAAGGCCATACGAGAAAGGAGGTAGAGATTGGAATGATACATCTACAACTCAAGGAACACCAAAGATTGCTGGCAAGCACCAGAAGCCAGGAGAGCCAAGGAAGGATTCTCCCTTTCGGGTTTCAGAGGGAGCATGGTCCAGCTGAAACCCTGATTTCAAACTTCTAGCCCTTCTAACAAGTGTGAAACAATACCTCAGTGTTTCCATATTGAAAGAGACCCCAACTACACAGAAAAATGTACGAAAATAGAGCCACACCAATGTATATCCTTAAGAATTTTGAGGACATTAGGTACAATTAAAGACCATGAAAACTTCAGAAGAGGAAAAAGACCCACAAGACTAGTTAGAAATATAGTAACTATCAAACATCTTTTAATATTATGCAACTTTAAATTATACACAGTATGACTTAGATAAAAAGTAGTTGTTTTAGAAAAACGTAAAGAACAACAAGAACTTGAAAGAAAAAAAGGCTAGCACTTTTAGGTAGAATGAAAAAAAACATGACTGTAAAATTGGTTGAGCCAAATATTTTCACAACACTGACTTATATTTATTAACAATTGTATATATATATATATATATAGTTTATAGTTTTATATATATGTATAGTTTTCACATATTGGTATATATTTAAAACAAGAAAAACTTAAATCTAGAAATAAATTTGTAAATAACTTGTAGCAGACACTGTTGGTGCTCCACCTAGTTTCCTGCCTCCATCCTCCAACTCCCGCATGCTTGCTGTTCATCTTCCACCTGAGACTTTCAGATGATTGCCTTGGGATCCTGAAGTCCTCAGCCCTAGAGCAGAAGTGGCTGGGAGTTTACAGCTCATCCAGAGGAAGCTTATACTGCCTAGTATGGGAGTTCAAAAGCCCAGAATCTTGGCATCGAGACAAGACAAACTCTGAGATGTGATTTATGCTCCAAAGCTCTCCACAGCAACAGATAAAGTCTGGGACTGTACCTGCAATCACATCCTTGCTTAGCTTCTTCCCTTTGCTTATTCTGCTTCCCTTGTTCTCTTACTAATTTTTCCTACTGGGATCACACCTCCTTAATAAATCACTTGCAGTGATGTTTTGGCTCAACATCTGGCACTGGAAGACTTGAACACTCTTTTGGTGTGCTGAGGGAGAGACATTAATGAGAAGGCACTGATTTGCCCACTGGTACACGTACTCTTTAAAAGCAGGAAATGTGACTTGATTATCCCTATGCATCAGCGCCAAACTTGACCCCAGACATGTACTAGGAACTCAGTCACCTAAATATAAAGGTCATATTTCAAGGGCATATGGTATTAACCAAATGACCAAGTATTCTCAATTGCCCAATGCTTACCCTCTGCTTTGCCTTGACCAAACTTCAGTCAGCTTTCTATCTTTCCCATAGTCCCCTGAATTCTGCTTGTCCCCAAGCCTGAGCAAGCACCAAAAAAGTAGAATGTGCCTCCCTTCTGGGCTTCTCTTGAGAATCAACTGACCAGAGCAAAACCCTTTTTCCTATCAGTCCCCACCGGTCATTTTCCCTTCCTTGTCCAGCTTTCCCTCCAAAGATTCTGCTTATTTCTGCTTGCCCCTTCTTTAGCCTATAAAAGAAAAAGCTTGCTTGGTTTGATATTGAGTAGCTTGTAGATTTCTGAGAGGGGAATGTTCTCCGAATTGCAATAGTACCCCGCCAACTATTTCAATAGTCCCTTTTCCTCCCTTGCAATAATCATTTTGAATAAAAGCCTCTCCTTACTAAGTCCTGACTTGTTTTTCTTTTCACACAAGTTTTCCACACGGTCGTTTAAATATCAAACCTCCCTGGAGAAATAAATCAATTACTAAAAACATATTTATGTCTTATTTTAAAATACTAAATGCATTATAACAATATTCTTTTAGATAAACATTTTTTTCTTCCATGAAATAATTTTATCTATTAAATAGAACTTACTTTCCAAGGTCACAATGTATTTCTGTGTCTTTTAATGTATGCTGACAAAGAAAATCCAAGATTCAGTCTGTGTTCACAAAGCCTCTATAGTCACAATGCAGAGAGGAGACAAGCCCACGTTTCTAATGGTAATCTAGCAAAATAGGGTCTTGTATATACAGTATGGTCTTAATTTTCATGCTTCACATTATAAAAATGTTTATCCTTTAAAATTTCACAAATATATTTATTTATTCATCATTCATTAAAATAAGAATTATTCTAACTCTGAAAGAGCATATAAACTAGCAAAAGACATTTTCATGGCGTAATGGAATGCATCGTACACACCAATACTAAGTACAGTCTTTAAAACTATAACAATTGGATATTACTGTTAAAGAAAGTTGACTATTTCACTATAAACTGAGTTAATCGTGAGCATAGAGGCCATGTGTTTGTGTGTGTGTGTGAGAATACACAGTGCAAAGTTTTTCATAATTATGCCATAAGAACACTCGTCATTGCACTGTTAATATGTGTGTATGTGATTTGCATTTAATTGAGAATATAAGATATAAATGAATTTTTATCATGAAAATTGAAAGTTTAACCCCTAGTCCTTACAGAATCATTTTCATTTGGTGCAACCCAGAAAAATATGGTTAACAAAAAGTGAAGTGAAAGAGAGTATATAGGGGCAATTTAGGAATTATTTAACTTGATATTCTAATAAATAATATCTTTGCATTAAAGAAAACAATGGTAATTCTAAATTAGTACATTTTACCAATGAATGGTATTAAACAAAGCTAAAACTATGAGCGAGTGTAATCTCAATGATTATACCATGCAAAGAAATAATTTTAAAGGTTAATTTCAAAGGATCAGCAATAAGTATAATGCCACACTCAAACCATACCTTTGTTCTCTATAGCCTGTAGTCGCTGGAGAATACCGTACAACACAGTTGAGAGAATCTAGTGGAAATAGTACAAGTTCCTTGAGTCCACTAACGGCAGCACTCGATAACTGCACATTTAAGTGAATAATTTTCTCTTCTGGATTAAAGAGACGTATTTCAATACAAACACTCTCCTAGAATGACATAAGAAATATAAAATTAGCTCTTAGCATCAGCATAGAGTCATTGTCCTATGGAAGCCATAAAACAATGGCCAAATGTATAAAAGTTTATTTTTCTCCTTGACCCACTACTGAATGTACCTCACTCTCTTTTAATCTCATATACTTTCTTTGTTTATCCTTGCTAAATGGTGACAATATTTTGTTCAACAACAAACGGTCCAAGAGATCCACCTAGCTAAATGCTAAGGAAACTGCAAAATTACATTTAAAATATATTTGTCTTCAGTACCATTATTATTATGAGGTCTGTCTGTCAATGTTTCTTCTTGCTGTGGTACTCAGACTTATCATCCGTAGAGGTCGCTAAAATATGGGTTACTGGCACTCTTCCTCAAAGATTCTGATTCAGTACATCTGGGATGGGGCCCGAAAATTTATCTTTCTAAAAAGCTGTGGCTGCTTCTGCTGATTCCGAGGATACACTTTAAGTAGCTCTGTACATTAGTAGCAAATTCTAGAGACAATCTGAACTAAGAGGTAAAATCATGCTGATGACATGACTACCTTCCTGTTTAGATTCCTCCCTTCTGTAAGGTTTCTCCTGTCCTGCCTCCTGGGCTACATCCACTCAGCCATGGAAGGCACACTTCACGTTCCAAGACATTTCCTGATTCTCATTCTGATCCATTCTGGCTAATGACTTATATCTTTTTTTTTTTTTTTTTGCGGTACGTGGGCCTTTTTTTTGTGTGCTATGCGGGCCTCTCACTGTTGTGGCCTCTCCCGTTGTGGAGCACAGGCTCCGGACGCGCAGGCTCAGTGGCCATGGCTCACGGGCCCAGCCGCTCCGCGGCATGTGGGATCTTCCCGGACTGGGGCACGAACCCGTGTCCCTTGCATCGGCAGGCAGACTCTCAACCACTGTGCCACCAGGGAAGCCCACTTATATCATTTTTCTAAAAATTTTCTTGAAGTATAGTTGATTTACAATGTTGTGTTAATTTCTGCTGTAAAGTAATTCAGTTATACATATATTATTTTTCATATTCTTTTCCATTATGGTTTATCACAGGATATTGAATATAGTTTCCTGTGCTATACAGTAGGACCTTGTTGTTCATCCATCCTGTACATAATATTTTGCATCTGCTAATCCCAAACTCCCAATCCATCCCTCTCCCATCCCTCCTCCCCTTGGCAACCACAAGTCTGTTCTCTGTGTAGCGACTTATATCTTACCCCATTACAGCCATGATCTCCACTACAGTAAAAGCCATTAGTTGAAGGAAATGTGTCAAAGGTGATTAAATAGACAGGACATATCTCAATCTTAACAAAGACCAATTGTCTATAATGTCTTAACCTAATTAAATGGAGAATGTTGGACATTTTAGTCATAATTTAAAGTTTGGTAATGGATGTACTTTGGGACATGGAGCTATTTTGAAATTTATCAAATCACATTAAAGGAGCTGGTGGGGACAGGTGGTGATGGGGAGAGAGTTATTCACACAACGTATCTTCAAGATAGACATTACAGCTTTGTCCATGAACAAGCATTTGCTTGATTACCTCTGTAAAAATAAATGAGTGGATAAGTATTATATTTTAGGGGGATGGAAAAAGCATTTAGTGTGGTGAACATCATCTGGCAAGGAAAGATGGAAATCAAGGATATAGACAAGTTTATAATTACTAGATGAGAGAAGATATCATTTACTACAAATCAGATTTAATTATGAATGCAATTGAAAATGGCCATCTACAATAGTTTCAGGAGATATTAGAATCATGGATTCCTAAAATAAATGGCCATTAAATTCCTACAGTAAAATATCCATGCTCATAATTATAAAGAAGGAAAAATAAGATATAACATGCGAAAAACTCAACAGTGGCATTACATCACAAAATTTACTATTTCTTAGGCAACCTGACATATTTTATAAGACTGTTACAGAACACAGACTCCTAGGAAGTTTCTGAGGGTCAAGCAAATCAACAACTAACCCAAAGGAATATGCCATGATAACAAATACCAACCACCATATATTAGCCTAGAAACTTTGCCCAGGTCTTTGGACAGAAAATTGAAATGAGACATTTCAGACTAGATATGTGTCCTGGTCTATTACTCAAATTTCTTCAGAGGAAGTGTCAGTTTAAGACACTGCTATAGCTTCCTTTTTTTTTTTTTTTAATTTTTGGCTGCATTGGGTCTTCATTGCTGCGCACGGGCTTTCTCTAGTTGTGGTGAGCAGGGGCTACTCTTTGTTGTGGTGTGCGGGTTTCTCATTGTGGTGGCTTCTCTTGTTGCGGAACACGGGCTCTAGGCACACGGTCTTCAGTAGTTGTGGCACGTGGGCTCAGTGTTGTGGCTCGCGGGCTGTAGAGCGCAGGCTCAGTAGTTGTGATGCATGGGCTTTGCTGCTCTGTGGCATGTGGGATCTTCCCGGAGCAGGGCTCGAACCCGTGTCCCCTGCATTGGCAGGCAGATTCTTAACCACTGCGCCACCAAGGAAGTACTATAGCTTCTTCAAAGTAGTAAAAATGCTAAGATCTAAACCACTGATTATCACAGTAATTCATTTTTATATCACCATCAGCTCATATACACATACTACTGAAAAGGAAGTTTCACAAAACAGTCCCTACTCTTACCACATGTGATTTCTATGATCTATTCTATTCTACTCTACTCTATTCTAGTCATCTCTTTAAAAAATAATGCTCATTTTGACCCAGTCACATTCTGAGATGTGTACATTGAAAAACTATGGTCTAAAAAGGAAAAAAGTACTGGAATATGGAATTGCTTTATGTCTTATCACATGTAAACTATGAATACAAAATAACACAAAACCACTTTAAAGCTACTGTTTCCTCTGTGAACTACAAGCCATATAACAGAAGCATGCTTTGTGTTACAAATGTGTGATGACATTCTACACAGTTGGCCAAATCTCTTGGGAAATGTGGATGGCAGCTAAGGGGCACCTCTATCACAGCTCCTCCTTGACATATCCATTGCAAGTATCACTACCTCATCATTTCACTCTTATCCAGTAGGACTGGATGCCCCCTCAAAATTCTTCACAGAGCAGCCTTCCAGAGAGCAATCATCAATTGCTTACAAGCACTAAGTACCACTGCAGTCACTGCAGAATCCCTGCAACCAAATTCTCTGGAGTCTTGAAAATAGCAACAGACTCAATAGAAATGAATATTTCATTATACTAAAATGACTGAAATTTCCAATTAATTGTTCTGTACTCCTACCATGGTAAAATATATGTCAAATTTAACTACAATATTATAAAAAATAATTTCTAACTTTCATTATGGTTTGAATATTATTTTCTTCAAAGTTTAAACAGATAAAAATCCCTAAATGATACCTTTCATATATGGTATTATATAAATAATTTCTATTAAATATCCATCTGCCAAAATAATGTCAAAATTAATTTGGACAAGATTAATTTTCCAACTAGATTTCTTAAGGCCATAAAAATTAGATATTTCTTTAAATATCTGATGCATTCAGTAAGTTAAAGAAAGGAAATTTTTGTCATTCACCATTTTACCAAATGATCAAAATTTGTAAATTTATTCTTGGAACACCTCCTTTGCATTATCTACGTAATCCAGAAATATATAACTATTTTGAGTAAATAACATACAAAACAAAATGTATAAAAAATTACTCTGCAAAAATGGTTAATAGTCTTGCTGCCTAAGGTATCCTACTACCCCCATTCCATTTTTTGATAAATAAGTTATTCAATAGGAAGTACAAAGTCAGTTAAATTTCTGTGAACACTTGATATATTAAAAAAGGTTGAAATAATGGGCTACTGTATATCTTGCCAATGGCATTTTACTCCACTTTGATGAGTGGATTTTTTTCAGTTTATGTTTAGAATTAAATATAAATCAGTTTTGACTGATTATTTTTTTTGAAAAATAGTAATGACTGTATATGGTGACTTCAAAAGTTGTCTTTCATCTTCACATGGCCTCTTTTAGGTTCAATGATAGAGAGTATTCCTCCATAAGTTGTCTAGTATTTTTCTCTTGATTGTACTTAAGGAATATTTTAGCTAACATAATGACTGTTTAAAGAAACTGCTTCCATTTCTCACAATCCTTTGTAGAGAGACCAAATTGGGTATATTTAATCCTGTGGAATATAGGTAAAGATTTTAAAGCATGAGAACATTCATAAAATGCTGAAATTTAGACTACTGAAAAAGTTCAAATACTCAGAGAAGTCTGGAATACTATTTTAAAATATGTACAAACAACTGAACTGAATTTTGTTAAGTTATAAACCTTTTCAAAGGGAATTTGACTATCTGTTCATCTTAAAACAAATATAAAATATTTTCGGCATCTAAATACATATTATATGTTTATTATTTTCTTAAAACAGAAGAAACATTTTGAGAGATTTAAAAACATAAATTAGATCAGGTCATTCCCTTCTTCACACCTCCTAGTGGCTTCTAATTGCACAAGGAATAAAAACTCTCATCTTGCCTTTTGAGGTCCTACAAGATGGTGTCCTATAGACACCTCTGATCGCAAATCATACCTTTACCATTTCTGTCTAAGCTCCAGCCTCACAAGCCTCTTTTCTGTTCCTGGAGTGCCTGGGCTCCTTCCTGGCAGGTCCCTTCCCACCAAGCTGATTTTGTCCCAAGGGCTTATACATTGGTTAGTCTCTCTACCTGGTTGTACTACTTCAGTCTTTGTGTCATCCTCAATGAAACCTTGGACTATTTTCGTTTGTAGAATTATCACTGTCTAAATTCATCTTGTCCATTTATGGTCATGGTAATGGGTTCACCTGGTGAACTAAACTTAGTGGAGTGTAATGTGAAAATGGTTTCTCTCCTCCACTGCTGCTCTCCAAACCAGGCAGGATCTCCCTTTCCCCACCCCTGTTGTTATCTTAGGATGGTTCGCAATGCTAGAGCAGTCTCACTGTCAGATATATAAAGAAA